GGCCAAAGGAACTGGACTTATCAAGGCTATTGAGGGTTACGTTTTGGCTAATCCTGATTACTGATTAATTGTATAATCTTCTACTTGGTTGTGTTTTGTTATGGGAATAATGATTAAAGTGTTGGGATATGGTTTGTTTAATTTACATGTGTGAGGTTGTGAACTAAGTGTCGGTTTGAGTGTGGTTGGATATTTCATGTTTAAATACAAAAATCTATGGGTTGATGCTGAGGTTTTGTACTATCTGTACTATTTCTCTGATAAATAATGCAAAGAAATTTCCTAGTACTTACGTGTCATTCTATGAAATGTTACTTAATTAATATTAATACACCAAACCACCTGCACCAATGAGAATTTAAATAACCCAATTTTAAATAAAAAAATTCTAAAATATTCCACCTTTTAAATAATTTCTCAATATAATCACCTTTCAAAACAAAACAAAAAATAACATGGTCATTAGTGTCAGTTTAATTGGCGAGTGCATCTAAAATTTAAGAGGAGGTGACAATTAGATTGTCATTTAAAATAAGTGTTATCAATCTAATTGACGCATATGTATAATTTTTACAAAGAGAGGGTCTGGCATTAGTATATGTTGTGATTTTTTTACTTAAATAATTGATAGTTTCTATTATAATAGAAATCAAAATATTAATATTAAATTCAAGATACAATTGATTACACGCGAAAACAAATAAAACCCTAACGATGTTGACTGGGTTGATCATACCGGTCATCGGTTCCACACCTCCTAGGTATCCTAACTCGTGGCCCTAGCCCACGTTGTTGATTCACCATAGGTGTTTGAGGATTTGAGGTTCGAGGAACACTAGTATTAGTAGATTCCCTAATAAGTTCTTGCATTTCTAAGAAGTCTTGTGTATTGATGTGTTGCCGTAATTGAGTTCTTGACCTATAACAGAGTAGTTTGGGTGTGTTTGGGTTATGGGTGTGCGGTTGGGACGATTGAAAGGCGACATTGGCGTGAACGATTCGTTTGTGAAAGATTGAAATGGGTGTTGTGGTGTTTGATAGCCATATTGCATGTGTTGGTTTTGTGATATTTGGGCTTCTTGGCTATGGTATGGGGAAGGGTTGGTGTTGTATGATCGCTGAGTGTTTTATCTATGGTGGTTACGGTATGACGATGTGTTAGGGGCATGTGGATGTTAAGTGTCTTGATAATGATCATCTTGTTGGCGGTGGTATGAGGCATGCTCCTAGTATTGTGGTTATGTGGCTGACATGTTTGGTTGAATGTTTGTCTGTTTGTGGGTCGGTAGCTTTATTGGATAAGAGGTTGTGAATAATGGGTCTCATAATTTTGTGGGGGGTTAGATGTTGAAGCTTCTTGTGTGTAAGTGACTTGGTGTGGGTCGTATAGATACATATCTTCGGAGAGAAACCTAAATCCAACTGATCTGTACCAAGTCATATATGTACGAGTTGATCTTTCCTCTTCTGGCATCACAGGGTCATTTAAGACATGGTTACGGTGGTGCTTCAATTTATGACACAAAGATTTGGAGAAGTCCTGCCAAGGGTCGAAGTTCTATTACTCGTTAACTCTTCGTATATGCCATTGTTCGATGTCTTTAGGGGGGATCTAGGATGACTTGTAGCATGCTGAACTGCAGTTTCATACGGTCACTATGGTGTATCTCCACAGTGGTGAACCAGATGATCATTGTGCATGCAGTCAAAACAGTTGCATCCTCTTCGCTGATTTCATGTTGATGTTACATTTTTAGATATGGACGCCAAATAAATTAATGAGGAAAATAGATTAGATTATTGACTGGGTAATATTAAAAAATTATGAACGAATTCGTTAGTGACATTACATCTTGTTGTCTAAGCTGATCAATGAGATTGCGGTACTGAGTGATACAATGTATAGAATAATTGTTGTAATTCATACCATGAGTCGACCATCTACACAAAAACAGTATTAAAATAATTACTTATAAATAATAATTGGTAAAGTAAGTAAATAGAGTCAATATTATTAACTTACTTATGGCATTTGCACAAGACGGCAATAATAATGTCTTTCTCATTACCTTCGCTCTGATTGAAGGTGAGACCTCTAGTGGTTGGAGTTTCTTTCTCAAGAATCTTAGAACACGCGTTGCTCCACAAGCGAATATTTGTTTGATTTCAGAAATACATACTTCTATTGAGAGTGCTTACAACAATTAGGGTAACAGATGACATAGTCCTTCTTCTACTCATGTCTATTGCATTTGACACATCGCACAAAATTTCATGCGGACAATCAAAGACAAGAACCTTCACAAAAAATGGTGAATGTGGGCTATGATCTAACTCAACCTTTATTTTAATACTATCACGATGAAATTAAATTGTCAAATGGAGATGTATTAAGGTGGTGGATAACATACCATTGGAGAAGTGGACAAGGGCATTTGACGGAGCATGCCGATAGGGCCACATGACAACAAATCTTATGGAATCCATGATCGGGGTCTTCAAAGGAATTAGAAATATACCAATAATCGCATTAGTGATAACAACCTATTTTAGGTTGGCATCACTTTTTGCAACCATAGGCGAAAAATGGAGTGCAGTGTTAAGGTTAGGACAATTATTTAGTGAGCGTTGTATGAAAGTGATGAAAGAAGAAGCTAACAAAGCTGGCTCACATGCGGTTACAATTTTTTACTGTCATAGACACACTTTCAGTGTACAAGAAACAACGAACCACAATGAGGGGAGGTCAAATTTAGCCTATGTCTTCAAACTAAACAGAGGTTCGTGCGACTGTGACAAATTTTAGGCCTTCTGCATGTCTTGCTCTCATGTCATTGCGGTATACACATATACTCGTCATGATACTTACAGTCATTTATCTGAGGTTTACAAGGTCTATAACATTTTGAGTGTTTATATCGAGAGCTTCCCGGTGGTAGCAATGGAAGAATATTGGTCTACATATCAGAGAGATGTAGTTTGACACAACGATGAGATACAAAGGAAGGAAAAAGGTCTCCCAACAGCATGTGTATTAGAACAGAGATGGATATGACTGATAAAATGATAAGATTATATAGTATATTCCGTCAGCTCAGACACAATCGAAAACATTGTGGGGACATGTCGGATCAATCTCTGCATCATAAGTTATTCTTTTATATATATATATATATATATATATATATATATATATATATATATATATATATATATATATATATATATATATATATATATATATATATATATATAAACTTTTAGTTACAACAAAATTAACATAACAAACATCACAGAAACTTAAACTCACACTCAAAACAACACATGTCACAATTAAAGCAACACACACTTAAGAACAAAAACACAAATATCAAAACAACGTGTCTACGATATAACAACCATCAAAACAGTTTCATCTGATGAAAATATCATATCACTAACATTATTGTCATTTTTAACTCGTACCCACATACGCTGCATATCATTATTGTCATTTGCAATTGAGATGTACGAAACAAACCTATCGATTCTTCTAATTTTTTCTCCATCATTAATCTCTCTGTCTAACTAACTTTTCAAACTTCTTTCAAGATGCTCGAAACTTTGGATGTTCCAAAAACGCATTTTCATCAGATGTTTCGTTGTCGAATAATAAACAATGCTCATCCATTTTAACAATCATGATAGAGATGATGAAGAAAATAAAACAAGATTATATAAAGATGTGTAATTTTGAAATAGTAGGAGACACCTCTATTTATAGTTTAAAAAAAATCACAACACACACTAGTGTCAGACCAATTGACACTTCCCTTTAAAAATTGTACATAAACACCAATTGAATTGGTAATACCTATTGCAGAGTCCAATCCAATTGACGTTTCCTCTTAAATTTTAAGTGATGTCGCCAATTAGGCTGACATCAATGATCACATTACTTTTATTTTTTTTTTAAATTTAGGTGGGATATTATTGAAAAATTATTTGAAATGTAGGAATTTTGAGAATTTTTTTAAAAAACGGGGTTATTTGAGTAAAAAATTCCACTAATGAAAGTAAGTATATTTACTTACATATGGTGGAAACTAAACGACAAATAACAGTTTCGTAAATGAATATACTAAAACAACTTTAAAAAGTTAAAACTACTTTAAGAATAGGTAAAGACGATTATTTAAGTGATACAAGATAATACTAAATTTATATTTAAGAGGGACAAAACTAGTTACACACGATTATCTAAGGGTGTCTTTATTTGATGGATGTACTATTCGACAAAATTGCTTGAGAAAAATAGAATCACTTTTAATAACTATTAGTCAATACATCAGTGTATAATTATATGAACAGGCTTACGGAAATTGGTCATCTATCTATTGTTCTTGCATTCATTTTCATCATATGAGACAAAGGTTGTGCCTGGTCCTAATAGTGGATCTATTGTTAAGCTTTCTTTGAAATATCACACCAAAGATGATGTAGCTCTATCTGATGCAGTTCGTGAAGAAACTAAGGCCAAAGGAACTGGACTTTTCAAGGCCATTGAGGGTTACATATTGGCAAATCCTGATTATTAATAAATCGCATAGTTTTGGTTGTGTCGTGTCATGCAAGTAATATCGAAGTTACTTTGTGTTGAGTGAAATATTTGTAGCTTAACCACATAAATAAAATTTAAGTTTCAAATAAGGATACAACTTAAACTACTAGCCAACAATTTCATCTCAACTTGTTAAGGGTGTGAATGTGAATTTGATTACATATAAACCAGATAAACTCAAAAGCTCGTAACTGCAATCAGTGTGAAATTTGGACTATATACCCTCTATAATGCAAAATAAAATTATGTTTTGGCTAAGAACACATAATGTAGATTGATATTCTTCTAGAGCTTAGCGTTAAATTGATCAGGAGTAAATTGGAACCGAGTTAGACTCTCTTCATTTCCCTCTGTAGGCATAATAATATCACAATTGAGACGCTGAAGAGCTGGCAACTGATTAGGAAGTTTCCCTCATAATCTGCAAGAGAAGTGTTGTTTCAGAAAGAAATAATATATATAACAATAGAATTCAAATTCAACAATGCAAGACAATATTTTGTTTGATGAAGAGTAATATTAACTATCATTCAGCAAAACAAAAGATACGACATATTTTGTCGGTTTTGTTTACCATATGTATAAATTAATATAACTTCTGCTCAATTACAGATAAACCAGTGCTATTTCAGAAATTGTACACAAAATTTTAGAATTCCAGGACAGAAAGACATATAAGAACAATTCTGCACGTTCACTGTTTGATTTGTTTCAGCTATTTTTCAACGCTAGAAACAACTTAATAATATAAATTGAAAATGTTCATCAAAACTAGGTTAGACCCCCCAAAAAGTTGAGTTATGACATTTTGAGCAAATGAATATGACAAACAAATAAAGAAATAACTAGCTACAGAATTTGCATGATTTAGTTTCCAAATCGAAACACTACCTGAGATATGTATTCCTTGACCTTGTCATAGATGGGTCCATCTGAAGCTCTCTCAGCAAGCTCATAATATACGGTATTGCCTTCAGGACCATGAACTTTGTCCTTTTGTAAATACCTACACAGAAAAATATGAATTACTTCAGTGTTCGTTGCTTTTTTAGGAAGACCCTATGTGCCGCAGAATGCAGTGAATCTTGTAATTTAGTTTCACCTTTGCTGAACAAGAAGTTCCAAGGCTTGCTTAATGTTTCCAAGGGCAGGATGATTTGCTTCACTGTCACTCAAACTCATCCTATTCAATTGGCTCCACAGACTTTCTGCAATATCCAAACCATATCAAGTTCCATTATGTTAAGATGACGGCACAAATCTCAATTACCCTTGAAAAATGTAAATATAAAAAACTTATATTTATTGCATGCATTTAGAGACCTTAAAGTAGCAGGTTTTGATTTCCATAAGTTCAACATGCGCATAAGATTATGTGTGCATAATATAGTTATATAATTAAGAAACTTCAATCATACCTTCTGGAATTTTACCGCCAGCAAGATGTACAATACTAATTATGACAAACGTGAAACCAGACATGTACGCTGTATTCGCATCCACAACATATTTTTCATATAAATCAGAAGGAAGATGGCTAATGAGTATATATGATTTTGCATCTGCGCCACCTGGAGGATCACAAGTCATAAGCCAATAATTAGAGGAAGTGTCAACGGTAACCGGTAAAACATAGTTGGAAAACTCTAGAGAATACAGACAGATCTGAACAAGTAAAAAGCAAAAACATTCAAATAAATATTCATGAAAATAAAAACATTTGAATGAAAACTGAGAATTACCTTTAGTGTAACCATTGCTAGGTAACCAAGGAAACAGTCCTTCAAACTATGCTTTATAAGTTAGTACAGAGTAGTCAATAGCGGCCAATAGTGACGCTATCCCGCTATAGCGGAGCGGAGACCTGCCGCTAGGGGAAGAGCCTTAGCAGCGCAGAACACTATAGAGGCTGCTATGGGAATAGCAGGTAGCAACGGCTGAAAGGTTCCTTGCCTGGAGCGGTTTTTGTCCCGCTATCTATCTTTTTCCCCTCTGAAAAACTAAAATTACCTCTTAAATTAAAAAGGTTTTAAGGGTAATTGTGGGTTTTCCAATCAAATTTGATACAAGACTCCATCCTTACTTACCTTCCTTCACCGGCGTTTCTGCACTACAATTGTTCTAAAGAAAAATCACAAGTTTCTCCCTCACCTCTCTTTGCACTGTTTTTTGCTCTTCACTTCGTATGTTTATAATTATTATTCATGTAATTTGTCCAAAAAATGATCAAATAAGCCGTCCCACTATACGCTATCCCATTTTTGGGGTCGGCTGCTCCGCACTGCTATCCAAAAATGATTACTCTGAGCTAGTATATATGCAAACCCGAGAAAAAGGCGGTCCAAACCCTCGTTCAATTACTTTCTCGTATGTTACATTGCATGAAAACTTAGATCACAAAGCCTAAAAATTGTTTATAGAATAGAACTCACAATGTTCAAGCAATGACCCATTAAAAAAACCAACAAAGCAAGAAATAAAGATTGTTGCATACAAATAGTGAGAGACAAAAAAACTCACTTTGCGAAGCGCGTGTCTGCGCTTTAGACGACGGGACAGACCTAGAAAGCAATCTCATTTCATAACCAAACACGGCGGAAAGCTTGTCCTTAGCCTCATTGATGACAAAAGTAGGAAGATTCCTCTGATGATAATTCTTGGTAATAAGCTGAGTGAGTTCATCTCTCTTAACCGGACACCCTGAGTTTTGATGAGTTTTGAAAAGCATGTAACGGATTACTTCTCCTACAAGCTTATCCTTTTCCTAAAACACAAATCAAAATCAAATCAAAAACCCTTTTCCCAAAAAAACAATAAAACATTGTGACTTTTTAAGGGGAAAGATTGAACATACCTCTTTTGAAATTCCGAATTGGGAGAAATCTTCAACATTGTTTGCCATCCTGCAAGTATTGTTAATTTGTTATGATGAATTTCAAAATTTGGGAAATAAATCGGTTCTAACATTAAAATAAAAAATTGAAGAAAAAAAAAAAGGAAGAAACGTAATACAATTAGTGATTGATTAGGGTTTAGTGGAAACAGGTAGAAGATTGAAACAAAATAGTGAATGAGAGAAGCAGGGAAGTATATACCTAAGTGCACTGGCGGGAACAATACCTCCTCCCCGTCCCTCTCGCTATTTTTACTTTTTTGTGAATAGTAGTTTCTTTTGGTGAATAAGAACTTAATTTTGTTTGGATTTAATTTATACACAAGTAGGTATATTTGTAAATCACCCTCATTAAATCTTTAAAAATATTTGATTTTTATAGTAAATATTCTTAAATTTATGTTCATATGTAAATATTGCTAGATTTAACTTTGTAATTATGTGCATAAATTTTTTAGTATGATTTGATCCAACCTGGTCGGAAGAGAAATATGTGTGTGGCTGGTCCAATTGTCTGTCGGTCTGGATGTTTTTTAGGGGGTTATCTGCAATGCACTAAAGTCAGAAAGAGTGGGAGGTAAGTAAGTATGAGAGTTGTGAATGAGATATTTGACTCTTTCGCATGGGAAGTATTTATAGAGCCCCTAGTGTTGGGCCAATGACCTCCATTGTGGGATGAATATTCAGGTCCACAATGGATGGTTGTTAGGATTTTCACGTGAGTGTGGATGAGCAGCACGTGCTCATCATTCTGGGTTAAGCGCTTTATGGACTTTGCGGATAGTGGGTTGACCACGTCCGTTACGAAGGGGGTAACGACTCTGAAGAGTGTGGAACATGCTGATGATGTGTCCTCGGGTGAGGGGTGTAACGCCCATAATTTAATTAATTACTTATTTAATTAAATTATTTTGGATTATTTGTGAAGTTGCGAGATGTTAAGAATTATTGGTATAAGTTGTTGGATTGTTATTAATTAATTAATTAGTTGATTAATAATAATTATATTGTTGGAATTAAGGTAATATGTGTATAATGTTGGACTTAAGCTATTGGTTGCAAGTAGTAAAGTGGGGGTGTAGGTTAGGCCCAATAGGATTGTTATATAAGGCTAAGCTGACACAATGATTTGTTTTAGTTGGATAATAAGGATTTTTGTACGCCGACTGGTAGAGCTGCGCGGACGAGGAGCAAGCTTCCCGGTGTCGAGCAGAGTGAAGCAAGCTGTCGGCTAGAGTTTTTGGTTGAGCGACCTTCAATCCAGGTAAGGGTGGGGTTCTGACCTTATAATGGAATTTATGATATTTGTTATGGAGAATTGATCGTAATTGTGATTGTTGCTCGTGATGTTGTTGAACTTGTTAAGGGAAGATGCTTGTTCTGTTATGTTGTGGACGTTTTGTGTTGTCTGCATGACTGCCCGATAGAGTTGGTGAGTAAGTTAGTGTAGATTGTTGCCTGTTGTGATCGGTGGAAATAGAACTGACTGTTTTTTAAGCTGGTTTCGCGAAATGTCGCGGTAAGCAAGAGTCGCCACCGTCTTTTATATTCTCCAACATGGAAAGGACAAAAGCACAGCAAAATTCCTTCTTTGAGAATGTTTCTCGGTTCGGGAGGTAGATTTATAGAAAGGGAAGGTGTTAGCACCCTTTCTATCCATGGTTATCCATGGGCTCTTAGGTACTTGCTCTTATGTTTTCAAAATTTGTTTGCTTTTCAAGTGTGTGTCGGTTTTGAAAAAAGTTCGTTTGGAAAACTTCTAAGTAACTCTTGTATCAGTCCTCAAGAGTGTATGAAGTGTTTGTTTGAAAACTTTTGAAAGTGTAGGTGCGAAAAGTTGTTTTTGTTTGTTTAGAAAAGAGCAAGTACTTAAGAGAATCTACCTACTCTAAGGAATTAAGCTGTGTAAGAGTCCTTTAGATAATGCTATCCCACCATTGAGAGGTAGGTAGCACCATCGTTGGAGATGTTCGGGTCAATTCGATTATAGGGACAGTGTGGTCACCGAAGCAATAGTAGGACATCTTAGAAGTAACCCTAGTGTCCTAGATCCTTTTATCCGAGGCAACTGTTTCGAGGCAACTGGATCTTTAGACAAAGGGTGACCTCTAAGACGTCCTGTACTTGATGACCACGTTTCGAGGCAACGAGTGAAGCGTACCCTAAGAGTGGCATGTGCTTTGTGTGTTGTTTTTCAGTTAAGGTTATCTTGTACATGTTATTGTGAGCTACGAGTTGTTTTTAATTTGTCATTCAGTCTTTCATGCGTATTAACAGTTAGGAGTGCGGAAAATTAAAGTGCGGGAATGTAAAGCTACGCTATTACAAGGCGCGGGTCTATACATCGCCAAAGACAAAAACCCGTTTTGGTAAATAAGTACGAGAAATTAAATAAAGCGGTAAAAACCTATTTAACTATTACATATCTGGAGACAGTTACATAAATAATCAAAATAAATAAATGCGCGCGAGAATTAAATCGGGAACGTCCTAAGGATTTTGACCCTTTTAAGAAAAGAAAAGAATTTTTTGTCCTTTTTGTGATTAAATGAGATTAAAATTAATAACTAATCTAATTAATTAATTAATTAAAAAAATAAAAGATTTTTTGTATTTTTATGTTTTTTATAAAACAAAAGGAAATAAAATTAAAAGTTAATAAAAACCTAATTCTAAATTTATTTTAGTTATTAAGAAGAAAAAAAATTAAAGTTACCTAATTAAAACTAATTCAATTTATTAGTATTTACTTACAAAAATAACATGAAATTAATAATAATAATAATATTAATTCTTTTTTTTTATGGGAAAAGTTAATTATGTTAGTTTAGTGATAATTAGAAAAATTAATTAGTAAACAAACAAATTGAAATATAAAACAAAAAGAAAAAGGGATGAACAAAAAAAAAGGGGGGGTTAAGTGAAGCAATCTGGGCCCAATAGTGATCAAGCCCTTGCTGACTTTTGGAATTTCCTGGAGCACGTTGACTCATGAGCATGGTGCTCATCATTTTCTGCCCTTTGGATCTGCTTCTGAGGCCACTTGGCACGCTGATTGTTGGAGATGTATGGTGGACTTTTGCTGGAACACTGCATTGGAATATGTTAGAAAAAATATGAGCAATTATATGGGGGACCTGAGAAAACTTACAGCGCAGTATGATGGACCTTAGGACGTGGCAAGGGTTGCTTTAGCTTCAGAGTATGGCAAAGAAGAGAGTCACGTTCTCCTTTTGGCCTGAAAATGCTCGCAACACTCCTTTTGATCTCACACTTTTTTTTGACACTTTTTGGATTTTGCTCTGGCCGTTTGTGCACACTCTAGGTTGTGAATGAGGCTTGCAAGGCTTGTATATATAGTAATGAGTGAGAATAAGTCACATTTAGGAGCCTTTAACCATTGCAATTAAGCTTTGGATTTTGTCTTAACCACCATTAAAGGCCTTTCAAAGCTTGTTCAAAATTTGAATTTTCATGCCTAAATGAGCTTAGCACGAAATTGGTAGGTTGCAAATGCTTCATGAAGTCTATTCAAACCATAAGATACCATTTAATTAATTTTTTTAGATTTACTTGAATTATTATGGATTAAAATGAATTAAATCCATAAAAATTAAATAAAAATAGAAAAATAATTATTTGGTCTTGAAATTGATCATGGGACACGTGGGTGACATGACAAGGCTGAATCAAGTGGAAAAAAGTGGTCCCTTTTGTCAAAAATTGAAGTTTCAAGGATAGTTGACTTTTGCCATTTCACAAAAATTTCCCAACTTCTCCAATGCATATCTTGCTCAATTTTGATCATATGAACATGTTCTTGGACATTTTGGAAAGGTCTTGAAGTCCTCTAACCAATTACTTTGGTCCCATGTCATTTGAATTTACCAATCTCAAGTTATGGTCTTTGACTTAAAATGCCTTTTTGTTGACTTTTGAAAATGGCCTATAATGTTGAAATTGGTAACTTTTTGTGAGAGCATTTCTTGGACTTGGAATGTGAAGATGAGTTGTAGGAAATGTCCTCCCCTTCAAAATGAGCATTGGATGGGATTTTTTTGATGAACCATGAAAAAGTTATGTTTTAGTCAAGTTACAGTTGACTTTTCAACTGTCCAAAAATGGAAACTTTTGCATCTTGATGATTTTTAAGCCATTCTTGTAGAATCATGATCAAGACTTGATCAAATGATGATTGTGGCTTCAAAATAAGATGTTGACCAAAATTTTTGACTTTTGACTGCCAAATGACCATTTTACCCCTACAGTTGATTGTGAAGCAATTAGGGTTTTTGACTGTGCAACTTGACCTTGTGAGCCTTGAAACTTGGCATGTAGATGCTTGAAAATGTCTATAGGCATATGTGACTTGATTGAGCCCTTGAAAACCTCAACTTCCTTGCAAGAACCAAAACCCTAATTTGACTGGCTTATGAGGGTGTTTGAACTGTGCAACCCTTGAGTAGACTTGAGCAAATTGAGATGATGCTTGTCAAAACTTTGAAGAATATGGGAGGGAAAATTTTGGGGTACAACAGTTGCCCCTGTTCAATCTTCTTAGACCTGAGGATGTAGATTGGCTTGCGTGCCTTTCGTGATCCGAAGGTGGAAGATGATTGAACACTAAAGTGCCCAGAAATTTGCACTCACATAGTAGAGTATCAGCAGTGTGATAGCGGGAATGGGCTTACAGATGCCATTTTGAGAGATGGTGGATAGGAGGATGGGCTTATAGATGCCATCTGGAGGTGTGACAAGACCTTGTCGGGAATGGGCTTGTAGATGCCATTTGGAGATATGATGGGTAGTGGATGGGCTTATAGATGCCATCTGGGGGTGTGATCGAACCTTGTCGGGAATGGGCTTATAGATGCCATTTGGAAAGATGGTATGGGAGGATAGGCTTATAGATGCCATCTGGAGATGTGACAGAACCTTGTCGGAAATGGGCTTATAGATGCCATTTGGAGACGTGACAGAACCTTGTCGAGAATGGGCTTATAGATGCC